ACAAACTGTATTCTGCAGGTGGCAGAGGAATGATAAGCTTTAAAAGAAGATGCACCACTCTGCATGCTAGCTGGGGTCTGAAACTTAACCCTCCAGTAAAATTAGAGGAGCTGCGATGCATACCTCAGCAGTAATAAATACCCAGAAGTCTTCAGAGGGTCTCTCTCTCTGCAGTTCTATCTCTAATGTCCACTTCCATTCCCCTCTCTCTCTGGCAGTGTTTAGTCATTTCTCTCTTTGTTGTCCCCACCCTCATCCTCTATCTGAAACACACACACACACACTCCTCAGAGAGAGAGCGCCTCGCCCGCCGCACTAACTGCCAAACTGACTCAACACTTTTCACACTAGTCATTTGTCTCACTAATGAAACATCCAGGCTTTCATCAATACCCTTTTTCAATCATTGCAATCTTTCTACTCTTTGTCCAATTCCCTTCAACCCCCTGTGTGTGTGTGTGTGTGTGTGTGTGTGTGTGTGTGTGTGTGTGTGTGTGTGTGTGTGTGTGTGTGTGTGTGTGTGTGTGTGTGTGCGTGTGTGTGTGTGTGTGACCTAGCATTACTATCCTTGTGGGGACCTACATCTGTTACACAGTCACGTGCGCTGACTGGCTTCCCTTATGGGGACACAATTGGGTTCCCTTTACATTACATTACATTACATTGCATTTAGCTGACGCTTTTGTCCAAAGCGACTTACAATAAGTAACCCCTTTAAGGGGTATCATTAATTTTAGGGTGAAGACTTGGTTAGGGTTAGGCAGGTGTTGGTTGTGGTTAAGGTTAGGATGAGTCTCATGCAGTGGCGAACCGTCAGGGCCTTCAAGGTATTCAGAGAACACCCTGGAACACTCAGATAAAACAAAACAAAATAGATTTAATTATATAAATAAAATGTAATAAAATGAATAAATGAGAATGGTATCTGTGTTGTTGATCTGTAATATCACAGTGTTACGTTGATTTGTTTGTCCTTCTCGGACCATGCTACGCATTTCAGTGGTTTTGTGTTAGAAAAGAAAGTACCCTTTTCAAGACGACAATTCAGTGAAAAGACGGACATTATAACGCCGCGGAGGGGGCGGGGGTGGGGGGGGGGTGTGTCTACAGAAGGTCCAGTTGTGATAGCCACGGTTTGCCACTGGTCTCATGTCGTCTCAAATGCATGTAAGCACCTTGAATTACCTTGTGTTGAAAGGTGCTATATAAATAAACTTGCCTTGCCTAAGTCAACGTAATGTCCCCTGAAGTGATGTAAACATGGTGTGTGTGTGTGTGTGATATTTGCATAGGTGCCAGCAGGTGCATTTATGGATTTAAATGCCTGTATTTGCTTGCGCCCATCCCTCCGTGAACAGGTGTTGTTTTGTATTCAGAGGCAGATCGGCCTCACACTGTCTGACAACTTACAGACCTTCAAACTTTGTTAAAGGTCATTCGTGATCTCACATGCTGTTGTTCATCCAGACTTTAGCCTTGAAAGGATGACATTGCAATACATAACCTAAAAACTTTGTTTGTCAGTTTTAATGCAACTTCTGCACATTGTTGATGGCGGAGACTCTTACAGTTATGCATATAAAAGCTGCTTCAATCGATATTTTTACATTGACAGTAGTTCAAATAACTGTCTTGTGTGGATTACTCCTATTAGGGCTGGGTGATATGGAAGAAAATCAGGTATCACAATATTTTTGACCATTACTTGATAACATAATCATCAGTAATGTGGATCTAATGACCAAAGGCAAATAGAGCTATAGCAGTCGAGCCTCGTATCTGATTAGCAATATATTGCCTAGCTCTGCTCACTCGTGAAATATCCCGATCCCTTTCTTCATATTTCAGCTCATTATTTTGATCAAGCAGTCGTATATGATGTGATTGACTCTCACAGCTCTCATCTGTAATGCTTTTAACCAATAAAGCAGCTTTGTTTGTGAGAACCCTCTCATAAACTCCCTGTACGCAGGCTGTATGCACCTATACCTATGAAAATAAATGCCTTATTAGTGCTAGATATTGACTGTTGAACTTCAGTATCAATTATTTGTTCCCAGCTTGTTGCACTGCCCCCAAGTGGCCAAAAAATAAAAAAGCATTATCGCAGGTTTGACAGTCCGTGCATTGTGGAAGGTGCTAGTTTGATTAAAAGCGTCTCCTGGAAGAGACCCAGCCGAGCCTCTCGTCTCCTCGCTCCACATGCCCATGTTTTCTCGCCTTTCCTTTCACTCTTTCTGCTCGATCACACCTCTCCTCTCTGCGTTCCCCGCCTCCCACCACCAGACGTCCTGTCTCTGGTCCGTCTGCAGCGCTTCCTGTCCGCCCGTGACTTCATGCCCACCTAAAGGGAACTGTTAAGATCCCCAGAGACATGTCATGGGCACGCCGAACGCATTCATGACGCCTTTCCTTTGCCTGCACAGTTCACACATTGCAGAAATAGAAGCATGTATGTCCTTGCTGTAGCATGTGGACGTCTGTGGTGTGCATGTCAGCGCTGCGATGTAACAGGAATGCTTTAATGTCAGTTTTTAACAGGGAAGTGCTCTTAACTATGAGACCATGCCTCTGCTTTTAGCGCGACGTGTTCGAGAAGCAAAGCATTGTGTGATATTATTATAATTTCTTGGATTTTATTTGTATCTGCAGCTGGTCAGGCTGTAATAAACACAGTCTGAGGGCGTCCTTTGTCATCGGGAAGCTGTCCGGCTCTAACGCCGGCATATGGCTGCTCATGCATTTTAATGTCTCGTCAAAAACAGGACAGCTCAGAGTCTGAAATAGAGACATCTGTCCGCTGGGGTCACTGACAGAAATACAGAGGGTGAGGAGGGGTGAGAGGAAGCTGCATTAATAGCCAGATGAAGAAGGATGGAGGAAAAACAGCAGCATTGATTGAAAAAGAGAAGCGAGGGTGAGAGGAAGATGGATGAGAGGGTTAATCCGGGCACAGCTGTCAATACAGTGATTCAGCCATCTGCATTTCACAGTGCAGCGTCATGCATTGTATAAGATCCACTCTCTGTGTACAGTAAAGCCCCTTACCCTTCAGAAAAATACCCTGACATCTGCTTTATGTCCTCAGACGGGAAGGTTGCATTCTGCATTCATTGCAACACTTTATGGCGCAATGCTGAAGTATTAAAGGTGATTTAACTTATATTAATTTATGCAGTCAAGTTCGACCCCTACCCAAAGACCTCAAATCCTATAGTGAAGTATCTAGAAACTTTAAGATAGATAAGTTTCAAGATATATCTTATCTAAATGATTAGAACTTATATAAATACAGCGCCAGAACAAGAGAAAAGTAATTCCATTCACATATTCAATACACAATACGTTGCAATCTGTTCAATAAAATCATCAGGATTTTGGACAATAATAACAATTTATTAAGATACATACAGATCAATACATATCCTCTACTCAAAGCCACCAGACTCCATGGACAGACACAGTCATTTTGTTCCACAGATTTTCATAAAAACACACTTTACTCAAACTCAGAAACTGAAGAAATCTCATCAAAATCCATTAACTCTCGTTTAAAGTTTGAAAGGGAAACTAAATTGTTACGGTTACTTTATGTTTGCTAACACCAGAACACAGTGGTAAAGAGTGCTTATTTGTATCAGGTTTTCATGTTAGAAAGGGGATAGGGATCTAATCCAGTGGATTTAACTGATGCATTTCATATGTTGCATAATCATAATGGAGTCTGGATGTGTCACGTATGTCTCTGTGTGTTTGCATGCACTGCATCTACCCATGCTAATGCTAAGAACATCAAGTATTCATCTTCTGCCGTTATAGGTCTCACGATATTAGAAATGTTGTCTTTTTGTTATTATTTATTTATCAAATATTGTAGCTTTATCAATCCCCAGAAACCTGCATCAATAAGTCGATAGACAGAAAAATAATCACCAACATTTTTTGTAAATAATGACATGTCAGTTTTTTATAATATGAAAGTGAATATATTGGGGTTGGTATCTGACTTTCTAACATTTTTTAGACAAAGTGATTAATCGGGAAAGCAGTCGGCCGATTGTTTGATAATAAAAATATTATTTTCAGCCTTAAAGCTGACTGGAGTTCAGATCTGAGCTTTCACTACACCACCAGCTGAATATATGGGATGATATAATATGTGTGTGTGTGTGTGTGTGTGTGTGTCCTAGCATTACTATACTTGTGGGGACCTAAATCTGTCTACACAGTCACGTGTGGGGACTCGCCTCCCTTATGGGGACAAAATGGAGGTTCCCATGAGGGTGAAGACTTGGTTAGGTTTAGGATTAGGGTTAGGGTTAGGCATGTGTTGGTTAAGGTTAAGATAAGTCTCCAGGAAATGCATGTAAGTCAATGTAATGTCCCCTGAAGTGATGTATACATGGTATGTGTGTGTATGTGTGTGGTGTGTGTGTGTGTGTGTGTGTGTGTGTGTGTGTGTGTGTGTGTGTGTGTGTGTGTGTGTGTGGTGTGTGTGTGTGTGTGTGTGTGTGTGAGTGTGTGGGTGTGTGAGTGTGTGTGTGAGTGTGTGTGTGTGTGTGTGTGTGTGGCATCGCGCCCGTACTCCAGACTGGATTAAGGTCTAGCTTGGATGTGGCTGCGCTCCATTTGGAGAATCAGGATTGGGATTTGAGATAGAAGCGAAGGGGAGGAGGTGTTATCCCCAAGAGGAGGAGGAGGAGGAGGAGGAGGAGGAGGAGGAGGAGGAGGAGGAGGAGGAGGAGGAGGAGGAGGAGGAGGAGGAGGAGGAGGAGGAGGAGGGATAGTGGAGAGAAACTGAGGATGATGTAATGGTCGCAGCGCTGTTAAATATTTGTTTTGGTGTATTTATTAATAAGACATTCGATGATGTAATCCCGGCCTTTTAGGAAACTGTACAGTTTCAACATTTATTCCGGATGAATCAACAGGAATTTACAGCTCTATTCGCCCTCGTTAACCTCTCAGTTATCGTGCCTCTCTAACACCGTCTCTCTCTC